GAGAAACCCTTCCTAGGCCTGGGAGTTCTTCATGAATGGGGGAGGGGAGTTGCTGGGAGACACCCACCTTGGGAGACCACATTGAAAAACAGCACCTTCTTCTAACCTGAAACTGCCAGTCCCATTTGAGATTTGTCTGGGCTGTTAGTGATTTCAGGGGGATTTCCCATTTGGGAGTTATCTGGAGTAAATACTCTCCTCTTCGCTGTCCATTCTGATATTCCTTTCCTGAGGCATCCAGAGAGCACAGCAGGAGGCTGCTAGCAAGGTGAAGAAGCAGAACCTTCCTGAATGAATAGATGCCTCTATTGCACAGTGAGGAGCCTTGGTGACGTAGTGATTATTCATTGGGCTGCAATCCAAAAGGTTGGCCGTTTGAAACCACCAGCCACTCTGAGGGAGAAAGATGAGACTTTCTACTCCTATAAACAGTTGCAATCTAGGGAACTCACAGGGGCAGGTCTACCCTGTCCTATAGGGCCACCATGAGTCAGATCAATTCAATGACAGTGAGTTTGGCTTGGGGGTTTCTATGGCGTAGTGGTTATGCGCTGGGCTGCTAACTACAAGGTCCTCTGTTTGAAACCACCATCTGCTCCAAGGGAGAAAGATGGGACTTTCTACTCCCCAAAAGAGTTACAGACTTGGAAACGCAGAGGGTCAGTTCAACCCTCTCCTATAAGTGCACTCTGCCTCAGAATCGACTCGATGACAGTGTTTTCTGTTTCTGGGAGCAGAATGGGCAGGGAAAAGAGAGGGTTAAAACAGATATTTCTGTTCCCTCAGCAAAAGATAATGACTAGTCAGGGAAACCATGATGGGGTTAGGATTCTCATTTTCTCTTTTCTTAATGCATTTTGTAACCATGACTTTGGCACTCAACAGTGCCTTAGGAGACTCTCCTTTGTCTTCTTGGAAAGCTCCTATTCAGCCTTCAGAACCCACCTCACATGTCCCCTATGGAGCGAGAAATTCCTGAATATTCTTATATCCCCAGGCATATGTCTACTTTTTGCGGTTAAAAAAAATGAACGTCATGAGACACATGCAATCTCAATAATCTCCACATGTATAATTTGGTGGCCTTCACGTCACCCTTCAAAGTCATGTCGCTACCACCGCTCGGATAGACGCAGCGCCCCCTGATCTGCCATTTTCTTGCTGCATAACTGCCAAAGTGCCTTCACGTCTCTCCGTCTCCTTCCCTGCAACATGGGGTGGTAATCACCTCCAACGACAAGGTTGTTGAGAGTCTCAAGTGTGTTCAAGTCTAGGGGATTTGACTTAGAGCATGGCCGGGCCTGTGGGACCCCTCAAGAAATGGTTGGCTTTCTTTCTTTTCTCCTGTCTTCTGCTAAGTTCTTCCCTCTTCCTACTTAGCAGAACGGCCTTAGGGCCAGGCAGCTTCCAATATTTCCTTCTCTTTATTTTTCGCCCACTTCAAGATCTGAATTACTCACCGTGTGCTGGAGACACGCAGAGAAGGGCGTGTGATGGAACGCAAGAATGGGTCTCCTGCCCACCTTGTATGGTGAGCACAGCTTCAGGAAATGACTCGGGAGTACAGAGAGGTGAGGTGCCCATTGGATGGTCCGCGGTGAGTAGGTAAGGCTGCTGGGATTTGAGTCCAAGGGAGCCTGCCGTATGCAAACCCATGATTCCCACTGCATTTGCTGCTGCCGTGGGGCTGCAGGCTGACCCCCAGGGGTGTGAGCCTCAAGGCTAGGCAGGCTGGTACTAAGCCAAGGCTGTTCCTGGCATTCTCTTGTGTACGTGTGTGTAAAGGATGTTGTACAAGGAGAGGAGAAGCAAATGGATAACGGACTTGACGGTGAAGGCTGCCACACGTGAGGGGCTGACAGCAGGGTGATCCCCGAGCATCTCAAAGCTCACCGCCCTTCCTCCTTTTCTAAGACGAACCATGGACACCAGAGGCCCCCGCTCCTCTAGGCTCACAGTGCCCGCTGGCTCGTGGGCTGCGAAACCAACCTCCGGATCCCTTCTCTTAGAGCCTTTGTCCGTTCAAGGTTATGGCCAAGAGCTTACAGGATGGAGGTGAGGAGGGGCAGGGTACCAAGTAGACCAGAGAGTGAGTGGGGGTGGTGATTTGGCATTCGAGGTGATGAGGAAGCTCGCCTACAAGCAGAATGGTCCAGGCTCCTAGATTCCCAGGGGACAGATCTAAATCCTCTGGGTCACCAGGCAGGAAGCCCCTGGGACGTGGGGCTAAGCACTTGCTGAGCCTGGCTGTGGCCACCAAAGGTTGGGCAGATGGCTTCCTGGGGTTCTGTGGCCACACAAGGTACCGGAAGTCGGTACCCAAACTCTGATGGTGTCGTGGAGGTCCCGGAAGTCGGTACCCAGGCTCTGATGGTGTCGTGGATTATGTGGTGGGACCCTTCAGTCGCTCCAAGGGAGGATGACGAGGCTCTCTGCTCCCGGAGCGATTGTCAGCCTCAGAAGCCACAGGAGCACTTCTCCCCCGTCCTGTCGGGTCACTGTGAGGCAGCGTCCACTCGGTGGCAGTGCTTTGGGGTTGAAGTCTGGTCAAACCCAATCTGTCGCCTGGGGGAAATTGTCTGGAAGAAGGAGGGCGAGGCTTCTAATTCAGGAGGCCCCTCTTTGAGGGGAGATGTAGGAGACTGCGGAGGAGCTGCAGTTTCTGAGCCTGCGGGTTCAAATGCTACACTTCCCCACCCCGTGTGGCTGGGGCCTATGGGCTCTATGTGTTTGAGATTTGGAGAAGGGATTGTAATGTCCACGCCACAGGCCTGCTTGCTGTGAGGATACACTGAAGCACGTGCCAGTGCCTGATGTCCAGCAGCTGCTAAGCAAAGGGCCCCGTCTATCGTCCTCTTTCTGCCAGCGACGCAGAGTCACTGGGCACGGCAAAAGGTTCCCATGCTGCTCTGCTAACCGAAGGGACAGAGGTTAGTGCCGTCCCTGGAGTCCCTCGGAAGAAAGGCCTGGGGATCTCGTTCCCCAAAGTCAGCCCCTTGGAGCCCAGTTCCACTTGGGCCCACGTGAGGTTGGCACACGTGGAAGGGCACTCAACAGCAAGCGGTTTTCTCCGGAGAGCCCAGTGAGCCAGGTGCCGAGAGAGGACCGGGGCCCAGAGAGCCATAGTGCCTAGTGCGTCAGCGATGAATCACAGGCCCACCCGGGCAGAAAGGGAGCCCTCGCCAAGTGCCAGATGTGTGAAGTGCCGTGGCCCCCATCACTGTGCCTCCCCCTCAACCACAGCCGGATGCCACGGACAACTGTGGTCCCCACTTTACACAGGAGTCAACCGAGGTTGGTATTGTCTGAGGCCTCTTGGGAAGCAAGCCCACATCTTAAATGTTAGTTCATGCCCGCTCCTCCTCTCCATTGCCCAGGGGCAGATGCCAGCACCAGAGAAGGTACTGTCTCCTCTGCCCTTCTGCTCGGGCAGACTGACGGCTTCATGAAGAGAGGGAAGGAGTGAATTTAGGATCCGAAAAACTTGGGTTTGGATCCTTTCTGGATGAACAACCGATTGTGTGGTTTGGGGCACATCTCTCCCCTCTCAAGCCTCCAGAGTGGTTTACGAGTTGGGTTGCAATCTGCATAGTCAACAGTTCAAAACCACCAGCAGCCACTTGGGAGACAGACTGGGCTTTCTACTCCCATAGACAGTTCAGGTCTCCCAAACCCACAGGGGTCGCTATGTGTCCGCATCAATTCGACAGCAGTGAGTTTTGTTGTGCCCCCTCCCTGCCCCCCAAGCCTTCATTTCCCCAACGGCAAAAAGAGGAACATATCAACGGGGGTCTGGCTGGGTGGTGAGGGCTAAACCCAACCATTTTGGCCAACTGCCTGGTGAAGCACAGGTGCCCAAGAAACGGGTGACCGATGCCAGCCTGCTGAATACATCAGGCTTTTGACTCAGAAGAGAAGTGGGTTCCCTTCCAAACTCTGCCCCCCCCCCCCACCCCAGTGTTCTGGTAAGTGTCAGCAGGCACGAGGGGGGCCATACGCAAGCTGCTGCTGGCACCAGGCTTGGGAACATGAGGTGGGCATGCCCCCCACCCACCCCTACCAAGTGCGTGCAAAGGCGCATCGCAGCCCATGTTTTGAGGGAGATTCTGTGATTTTCATCCTGTGTTGCCGCTAGAGAAGAGTAAACGGCAGCTCCTGGCTGCCGGGGAAGAGTGGTGCCTCTGCCAGGCCGGCGAGCCTGGCACCAGTGCGGGTGGGCACCAGAGTCACTGTCAGCTACAGACAAACGTAGCACCAAAGCTTCCAGCACATACACACACACACACACACACACACACACACACACACACACACGTGTGCGTGCCCTAGCCGCACACAGAGTGCTCCAGCACACAACACAGGTGCCAAGCCGACAGCCCCTGCCCTCTGCCTCCTCTCTGCTCCCTTTTCCCAGGCTCTCTGCGCCTCTCTCTTGATTCCTGGGCCATCCCTCTGTCCCTACGTGTGGTCCTGGTCTCTGTCTCTTCACTTCCTGGCCTCTCTTGTTCTTCCTCTCTCTGGGCTTCACCTCTGGTACTCTGTGCCTCTCTGTTTTTCTGACTACTTCTCTCCTGCTTTTTCTGCATCCCCCTCCCCCACGTCCCCCACCTGTCTCTCTGACATTGCCTCTCTCTCTCTCTCTCTCTCTCTCTCTCTCTGCCTCTCAGAATCTTTCTGCTTCACCCGCTGCTGTTTCTCTGACACGCTCTGTCTCCATCTGCCTGCAGAAGCTCTCTCACTTCTCTCTCTGCCTCTGTCTCTCTCCTGAACTCTTTTCTGCCCCTGGACACTTTTTCTTAAAACGCACCAGAAACTGAAGTGGCCGGATTTCAAGTGACAGACAGCACAGCACCCGGCATCTGCCGTCCCTCTCCGCCCCCCAGCCCCACGCAGCGCGTGTGTGTAGGACTGCCTTCCTCCTCCACATCCCTGTCAGGAAGAGGAGCCTATTGTCTCGCCCTGGGAGAGTTGAGTTGAAGGGCCTGGGGCTCTGAGCTCTGACTGCTCCAAGCCACTTCCTCATTGGCTCCCAGCAGCCTGTGCTCAGCCACGGCTGGGCGTCAGGGGGAGGCTGGAGCCCATAAAGGGGGGGACACGAGGCTCCAGAACTGCCATTCCAAGGGGCTTTGGCAAAGATCACAGCCGTCTCCTGCTACATCCTTTGGACCTGGAGACAGACAGACCCCGAGTCCTGGGCCAGCCACCTGCGACCACCCTCCCACCTGCTCTGCCAGAAGCTGCCTGGGGACAAAGGACACACAGGTAATATTGAGATGGGGGTCTGGAATTCTATTTCTTCATTTTGCCTGTGTATTCCTGGTCCCCAGGACTGGGGGTGACAGGAATTTGGGGGGGAGGGGAGCGGGGGCTGGTGTTTCAAATCGATGTCCGTGTTTGCAGCCCAGGTAGTTCGTGAGAGTTAGGGAGCGAGTTTACAGAAGGCAGGAGACTGCTCTCGGGATGTCCTGGCGGAAACAAACAGGTGGCAGCTCTTGTCCCAGGCTGCCTCTTGGGTTGGGTCCCACAGCATCTTCTTTCTTTTGTGCTTGGCCACTTCTCCAGGGCAGGAGAGGCCCGGGGCACCTCAGGTGGGTGCGGTGAGAGTCGCAGCTCATGTGTGTGTGTGTGTGTGTGTGTGTGTGTGTGGTGGGGGTGGGGCAGAGGCGGATCGAGAAGGTCAGCAGTTCCCCCCTGTACTTGGAGAACAAGGGCCTGCCGTAGTTGTTAATGAGGCTCGGGGCGCTGGCATTTACCCTCTATCGCGCACGTCAACACACAGCCGTGCCCAGCCTTTTCCTGCTTTCCGATGCCGTTTAATTGCTGACAGGGTGCCCGTGTGAGTGGCTCACTTGGACGCGATTTTGCAGAGAATGAAGTTCGGTTGCGGGGGGAAGAAGATGGACAGTGCGCCAGGAGACGCTCTCTTCATTTCTCTCGGAAAGGACTTGTTGCTCTCGTGTAAATTAGAGCCAGAGGATTCAGAGCAGAAAGCCTAGAAGATGGCTCAGCAAAAGCCATTTGCTCCCTGGGAAAGCTAGCCACGGGCCAGAAAGGTCTGACAGCATCCCAGAGCCTGACTCAGACAAAAATCAGATGAGCTTCTGACGAAAGGAAGGAAGAGAGAGAGAGAGGGAGGAAGGGAGAGAGAGAGAGAGAGAAGCCTGCTTAGGACTCCAGGGCAAACTAGTAAATTCTGGGAACTCTTACTTTTCCTCCATACCAATTATCAAGAATCTCTTGATAAAGCTTTACAAACATTCCTTAATTAAGCCTCCAAGCTTCTCAGGGGAGATAAGCTCTTCGGGTTATTGGATCTGATTTCAATTCTGATCCCCCCACCCGACCCAAAGTTTCATTATCGCCTTCCTTCCTATGGCTGGCAAAATCGACCAGGTGTGTCTCTCCGATGTGACAGGCGTTCTCGTCAGAGCCCAGTGCCAGTGCAAAATGCCTCTGCACGTCAACCCTCCCCTCTGGCTTTCCTGCCCGAACCCTGCTGGCTCTCCCGCACAGCAGCACCCGTGTGCTCCTCTCCCGCACCTGCGCCTCTGAGCCTACCCAGCTGGCCTTTGTTCCGGTTTTGTGGTTCATTGGTCCCCAGGCTCTGAGGGGGACCGAGGGGGACTGTGGGGGAGCCTCTGCAGAGCCTGAGCCGGTGAGCAGTGTGCCTGGGGGGAGGTTTGCCTGTGCAGAGGGAGCCTCAAGCCCACTGCCTTGCCCCAGAGGGGTGATGGGTGGCAGGCAAAAGCTGTGTCTGCCAGCAGCTGGGTGTGGGTTGTCAGTGTGTTTCCCGGTCCAGCTATGGTGTTTTTGTTTTATTTTGTTTTTAAAAACTGCAATCAACTTAAAACACAGAGAAAGGGTTAGGTTTTCCTGAGGTAAGTCCCAGGAGGTAGGCATTTTCCATATGGACCATATAAGTCTGCATGCCACACCCTTCAGACAGTGCTGGCTTCGGATCCCGCTACTGACTTGCTCTGTGGCTTTGGGGTGGCAGCTGCCTTCTCTGAGTCTTAATTTTCTCATCTGTAAAATGAGTAACATTTGTAAATATTATTCAATTTCTAATGTTATTGTCTAGAAGTCCTGGTGAGTCATGTTTACACTGCTGGAAGGTCAGCAGTTTGAAACCACCAGCCACTCCAAGGTGGAAAGATGAGGCTTTCTACTCCCATTAAGATACATCATCTGGGAAACCCACAGGGAGCAATCCTGCCCTGCCCTATAATATAGGAAGGAAGGAAGGCCGTGATGTGTCGGAACCAACTCAAAGGCCGTGAGTTCGAGTGTGAAGGTGACTGTAAAGAGCCCTGGTTGCACTGTGCTGGGATGCTAACCAAACGGTCAGTGGGTTGAGCCCACCGGCTGCTCCTCGGGAGAAAGAGGAGGCTGGTCTGTTTCAAAGATGACAGCCTTGGAACCCTGTGAGGAAGTTCTCTTTGGTCCTGAAGGGTCACCGTGGGTCCGAAGGGACTTGGCAGGAGCTCAGGTCATTGTGGGGGGGCCCTGGGGCAGTATATATGCTGATGTGCTGGGCTATTAGCCATGGCTCACCAGTTTGAGCTCCCTCTGTCCTAAGGAGCCCTGGAGGCAGAATGGTTGAAGGACAAGGTCCAGCACTTCAAAACTCCCAGCCACTCCCAGCGAGAGAGAAAGATGAGCCTTTCTATTCCTGTTAACAGTTATTTTATAGGAAACTTACAGGAGGGGGGGCAGTTTGACCCTATCCTATAAGGTCTCTATGAGTCAGCATGGACTCGGTGGCAGTAAGCGTGTGTGTGTGTGTGTGTGTGTGTGTGTGTGTGTGTGTGTGTGTGAGAGAGAGAGAGAGAGAGAGAGAGAGAGAGAGAGAGAGAGA